CCAGCATGACTAAGCCACTTTTGGCGAACCAGAGCAGCGCACAAAAACGCTGTTTACCTTCCCGCTGGAGTGGTACCTATTTATCTACTTGCACTTTGACGTGCTTTCGAACTGCTAGGTTGGCAGGAGCTGGGACCAAGCAAAGGGAGCTCACCCCGTCGCGGGGATTCGAACTGCCGACCTTCTGATCAGCAAGCCCTAGGCTCTGTGCTTTAACCCACAGTGCCACCCGCCTTTTCAACTATGACCACTAAGCAGGCATAGGCAAACTCCGGCCCTCCAGATGTTTGGGACTACAATTCCCATCATCCCTAGCTAACAGGGCCAGTGGTCAGGAATGATAGGAAGTGTAGTTTGCCTATGCCTAAGAGCCTAAATCCATCTGTGTGGAAAGTGGTGTCAAGCTGTGTATGCACCATAACTTTAAAGCACAAAGAATATTGGGAACTGTAGCTTATCTTTCACAGAGCTACAGTTCCCAGCACCCTTAACAAATGATAGTTCCCAGGATTCTTGCTGGGGAGGCAGAAATGTGCTTTACATGTGTGGTGTGTACGCAGCCTAAGAGACCCTGCACATTTGCGGTACATTGAAGCCACTGGAATTAAAATGGGGCCTTGGGGAGAGGGAATGTTGCTTCCAACAATGCTTTTCCCGGGCTCACCAAATATATTGTTTTCTCCCTTTGCCGCACAATTTGTAGCTGCACGATTAATACCAATTTACAATGCTGTTCCCTGTGCAACTCAATTAATTCCAAGGGGAGATCAGCTCTGAGTGTTTTGTTAGAGGAAATAATTGAGCCTCATTTACTTGTGAGAGGTCTATTGTTCATGACATAGTGGCAACAATTACAGCTTCAGTGTAAATATATAACAACAAAATGCACACGGAGCCGCCTCGTCCCATTTTACCTGCCGGTATTTTTCCCCTGCCTGTCAGTTTGGCCCTACCTGGGCCTGGACAAATTGTTTCATTAACATTTTATTACATCTTGCTATTGTTGTTCAGAATTTGTGAGCAGCTGAGAGACAGTTTGAACAGAACTGCCCAAAAATATATTTTTTCATGAGCATTTATCCCTTCACATAGCCCATTTATAGTCAGTGAGTGGCCCTTCAGCCAATAACTGAGGCCTGTGCTGACCCAATAAATTTTGCTGCCTGAGGCAGTGAAGGAAATGGCTCCTCCTCCCTCAGTATCCAGGGCCGACCAAGTTCTTTTAACACCTGAGACAGAAAAATTCCACGACCTCCTCTTTCTGGAAGTAAAACAGAAAACAACAATAAGCTAAATAACCCAAATTGCTGCTCTTTCATGATGCTGAAAATCTGCTACATGAGGTAGCTCCTTCACTCTGACTCATGGCAGGCTGGTATGCCCTTGTGGCCTTTTGCAGCCATTCTAGGCTGGAATATGGTGGTGGGCCTTTAAATGTTGCTGCTAAGCCATTGGGTGAACCCACAGAAAAATGAGTCACTTGGCACTGCTATAATGTCTAAAGGTCGTCTTAAAGTGTGGAAAGGGCTGTAGCTCAGCAGCAGAACACATGCTTCAGACACAGAAGGTCCCGTACTCAACATGGGCACCTCCAGCTAAGAGGGCCCAGGCAGCAGGTGATGGGGAAGACCTTTCTGGCTCTCAGACCCTGGGGAGCCACTGCCAGCAGTAGCAGCTGGTAGGGCAGCTCACCTGGCAGACAATATTGGGTTAGAGAAACACATAGCCTGACCTGGCACAAGGCAATTTTCCATATTAGCATAGCAAGCTGCCTTATGCTGAGTCGGTCTCCTGGCTCTCAAGAGTTTCAGACAGAGGACTAGGGCTGGGTAATATATCCATATATGTATCGTCCAAAACCAGTTTGAAGATCATATCATGATATTGGTTTCATAGGTTTTGACCTGGCAATATATTGTGGATCATGATGTATGTGTGTGTTAGTTATGCAAAAGTCACAATGTGGGGGAAACTGTGAAACCAGCCAATGTTCCTCCTTATTTCAGACACTATGATACAGTAGATCAGTAGATCTTGATGTTTAGCTGGTGATATATCATGAAGCTGAAAACCAGGTATCACCCAGCCCAACTGTTCAGCTCTGCATAGTTCCAACTTTATTTCAGACATTGTGATATTGGTATATTGCAAAGTTTAGCTGGTGATATATCGTGATGTTGAAAACCAGCTATTCCCCCAGCCCTATCTGAAGATATCAGGGACTGGACCTGAGAACTTCTCCATGCAAGGCAGATTCTCTGCCATTGAGCTGAGAGCCCCTTCTGTGACAGGGGAGAATTTATGTGGCTGTGGATGCAGAACTAGAAAGCACTAATTCTTACGAGTTGGTTCAAAGGTGTGATCTTGACTATGTTGTGCAAATGAAGTTTGCTTTTGTTCGCGTTTGTGCGCCTTAATCGTGAGTCTTTCTTTCTGGGTACCCCTCGTTCCTTTCAGCTGGAGTTGCCATGCCATGCTAGAATAAATTTCAAAAGGAGAACAATGAAACTAGAATTCAGCTGCCCGCAGTCCTAAGAGGTAAAAGCAGATAAGTGCTATTAATTGTGCTAAAAGCAGCCCAAGGACAAGGGAACACACCACATGTGAAGAATTGCAACAAAGGAATGTTAGAACAGATTTGTAGGGTGCTGTATGGAATGAGCTAGTTTTCTAGTGCTAGATTTGCTTTGTGTTTGTAGACAGCATATGACATACAATATTTATAATGGCTCAAATAAATAGACTTTGTCCTTGAGCTCTTGTTGGGCCCATCTTCACGAGGTAACAAAAGGAATGTGTCCTCCAAGAAGATTCAGTGAATTGATTCAAGTGTAGAAAGCTGCAATATGCTGTCTGGTTTCCAAATCTGCCTATTTAATAGGTTTAGCCGCCGCTTGCGTTTGTAAATTCAATGCTTGCCTAATACAGGGATAGTCAACATGGTGCCCTCCAAATGTTGGACTCCAACTCTCATCACTCTTGACAGGCTGGGGCTGATGGGAGTTGGAGTCCCACAAGACTGGGGGGAGAAACAGGGCCGGCCCACCCATGAGGCAAGGTGAAGCAACCACCTCAGGCAGCAGGTCTCCAAAGAATGCATCGCATGCTGCTGCCGCCATGGTGCATTGCACTCTTTGGAGGCTGGCTGTGCCTCTTCCTCAGCAGCCCCCCACCAATGCTACCTCTACAGCGGCCTCTTGGCAAATAGGAGTCGCTGCTCATCTCTTCCCACCCTTGTTCCCACCAGTGTAGATCTTTATTCCCCACCCCCTGTTCCTGATGTCAATTTTCACTTACCCTTGTTCCCTGATGGGCAGGGCGCCATTTTGTGGAGAGGTGCCAAAATGTATTGGGCCAGCCCTTGGGGGAAAATCAGAGTTTCTGCAGAAAATAAGCATCAGTACATATACCCAAGCAGCACATACTCTCAGCCAGGTGTCTCATCCTGCCCAGAAAATATTTAGCAATACGTTTGGCATCAGCTTGGCTGCAGGAGTTACCAGAAGGAGGTGTACAAGGTGCCATCCAACCGTCTTAGGGACTCTACTCTGGATTTGCGTAGGGTTTACTCCTTAGCCTTTTCTTCTGAAGATATCCAGCAAGGCAGTGGAGGTTTAGGAACAGAGTTTATGTTCTCCTTGATGAGCTACCTTCCCAGATTGACAAGCCCCATCTGCCCCTCACTTCCCTCTACAACATGGGCAGAAACTGCCTTCTTGACTGTGGGACCCACTCTTGGTCTTGTCTGCTCAATGTGCCGGAGCCTGTCTTTGCATGCAGAGGAAATCCCTAACTCATCAAGGGTTTGAGAGCCATTGGCTACCCTCACTTGGTTTAGCCGGCCAGTCAAAACTGCTCCTGGATGTGGCATGCTGTGGCATGCTGACAACTTCTAGGAGTCATGGGTGAGAGATGAGTACAGAGTGGGGACCAAAGGTAGACAAACTATCCATTAGGATACCCTACACACTGTGGTTTGTATGAACTGGCTGTCAAATTCACTTTTGCTTTGGAGTGTCATTGTGTCTCTTTGTATTGATCTATATATACAGATACATAATTGCATGTAACATCTAATAATCCGAAATTACAATTTCAAGTTGTTCGAGGCAGTCTTGCGATGAATTGCTAGCGCTTGGAGCAGGAGGCATTTTCTTTAAGCGTGGCTCCTGATTAGGAATGTAAAAATCGATAACGTCTGAAGTATTGTGAGAGGACTTCCTAAATATGGCTCATCATGTTGGGAAAAATCAATGCAAAATGGGCATGTGGAGTCGGTGTGTCCTAAGAGGGGAGCATTAAGGAGGGTTAACCCATAGAAGCAGCAGGAAGTAGTCACTAAGGATGAAGGATAGGAAACGTCAGTGATGCTTTCATTTGATGAAACTCTTGTTGGCTTCCTGTATGTTGGGTTTTTTGTTTTGTTTTGTTTTTTGCTTTTGTTAACTCCCAATGGTGCCCTCCCAATGTTTTGGGGGTCCAGCTTTCATTATTCCTGCCCATTGCCAATACATGTTGGACCTTACAGTAGATGGAGTCCAATATTGCCTGGTGGGCACATGCTGGGTTGCTTTCTTCCAATAACTCATTTTTCTTCATTTGAGAGCATGCAACCCTTTGCTGCAATTCAAAACTACTGTCTCTCTGGGAGGACAATCACTGGCTTTTAATTTAACACTGGTATAGTATCAGTATGAAAATGAAGAATATGCCACAAAAACCCATTTAACTTCTGCTTATGGGGGGTATTGTTTTTGCTTGTTATTATGCTATGCATTTTTGTGCTTTTATACAGTAAATCGTCCTGTGGTCTTTGGGTGAAGGGTGGTACAGAAATTTATTAAATAAGTAAAATACCTCTTTCCTCTTCCAGAGGACACCTATAATTGTACTGTCATAACTGCTATTCCACAAATGTTTTCACATGCTAAAATTGCATTGGTAGATGAGCTAAAATTACACACGCACATCTATATGTATGTATGTATTTCCCCCCACAGCTTTTTGCAATCTTTGCATTTGCAACATGTGGCGGCTATTCTGGAGGACTGCGGCTCAGCGTGGACTGTGCAAACAAGACAGAGAGCGACCTCAGCATTGACATAGCCTTTGCCTATCCATTCAGGTAATCTGTTGTCGTTCTTTGCCATTCACATGCAAAGGGGTAGCCATTGTCTACTGTGGTTCAGTGTAGTGCTTCCTGTAGATATTTGCAGGTGACAAGACATGCAAAGACTTAAGGTGATGTCACTTACTGGTGCATGTCAAGTTGCTTCTAAGCTGGAACCCTTTAGCACTGCTGAGGCTTTGCTTTCACACAGTTAGCTGGAAGTGGAATTAAACTGAAGACTCCTCAGAAGCACTCCGATTAGCTCTAGCTGATACGTTTGCACCTCACTGACTTCCCTCTGCCAGTAAGTGACTGAGGTCTACTTGACAAGAATCTAGGATAGTGGCTCTGCAATGCCTGGTGACCTGCCTCTGGAAGCATGTGATATTGTTGCACACCATCCCAATCTCTGACTGGTGCAAGATTTCAGGGGTTCCCAGGGTTTGTGTTTCCTTTTGGGAATGAGGCACAACAGAGACTGTGGTGTCTTTATGCCATTTGGTTTATTTACGTATATATGCAGCCCAGCCAGATGGGCGGGGTATAAATAATAAATTATTATTATTACTATTATTATTATTATGCAACCTGAGCCTACGATGGAGGGGGTTCACACCATCAACACCCCAAAAAGGTCTTGTTTCTCCCATAGCCATAGCCTTGGATTCAAACAGAAATCAGACATTGCTCTCAAACTTTGCTCTGACTCTCTCTCCAGCTTGCTGCTTTACATCTAGGTCACATCACTGCCCCTTTTAACTCAATGCTTTATCCATTTGTCTCTGAGTAGAGGGAGGGGCCTCACCTATTTAGGCCTATTTCCTTTGTTTTCTTAATGGCCCATCACCCAAGTGATTGCCTCAACACAAGAAGCCAGCCTGGTTTATATTTTGACACTTGCTGGATTCAGGGGTTAGAAGGATCTTGCATACAGCCTACTTCCAACCTCCCAAACTTATAATGCACTTATATGGCAGTGTTCTTCCCATGGCCAAGTTTTGACTATAATTTTTAGTCCTGTTCACAAGGCTAATGTTTAGGCACAGCAATGTTAATGAAAAGTTTCTTTCTGGTAAACTACTACTACTACTACTCCTAATGAGAAAGGTGTGAGAATAGTGATAAATAGACTCTCGATTTCCCCCCAATTTAATCATTTCTTTAAAAAAGAAACTTTTATTTTTATAGGAAAATAGTACTGTGCTGCTATTAAAAAGTGGGGGAAAGATTAGTTGATGGATGTGCTGAACTGGTTACTGGCCACAAAAATGGACTACATCAGAGTCAATAAACTGAAGCTCAATCCAGACAAGACTGTGATGTTTCTATTGGGTGGTTCTTCTGACTGGACAAGTGGTGTAGGCCCTTCTCTAGATGGGCTCACATTCGCTGTGGAAGAGCAGGTCTGTGGTTTGGGGGCTGGGGTGGGGATCCCCCTAGATCCACTGTTGTCACCTTCCACTAGCCTTGACTGGTGGCCCAGCTGCAACCTTATCTGGATGATGATAACCTGTCTGCCATAACCTTGGCTCTGGTAACTTCAATATTATATTACAATATTATATTGCATTGTGGTTTTCATGGGTTTGCTTTTGAAGACAGGTGAGGTGAGCCAATCATATAACACTGAATCTGGCACAGGTGCATTGGCTGCCTGTATGCTTCTTTTAATCCATAAAGCTCTTTATGGCTCGGGGCCCCAGTATCTTTCAAAGCACCTCTCCCACTATGACCCTACCTGGACCCTTCGGTCTTCATCTAAAGCTCTCCTCCAGGTGCCTCTGACTTCTTTTGGTTGAAGTTCCCTGGCTGTAGAATGCTGACCCCAGTGAGGTCCACTTGGTGCCATCATGAATGTCTTCCATGTACTAGGTTTAAACATATCTCTTCGCCCAGACATATGACAAATTATGACAGTGGCTGATGGCCTACTTGATGGAAAGTTTTTGCTGCTGAAGATTTCTGTCCTTTTTCCCTGCACTACGAAATGGTTTTCTTGACATATGTTGTTTTTGGTTTTGTGTCATTCCTGTTGGGCTCTTGACATTTTGTAGGAAGTGACTAACAAGTTAAATAGATAAATAATTCTCAGAATGTATGTATGCATTGACTAACAAATTGCCTTTTAAAAACATCAGCTCTCCAAAAGATTCAAATATGTCTTGGTTTCATAGCATCTGAGCTAAGCTGTCCTGGAAAGCCTTTTTTAGCCTAGTGATGTGTCTGATGTGTTTCATAAGCCAGTTTTAGGATGATAAACACCAATGGAAATGAGGGCAAGTGTCCAATGCCAGAAGTTAACAATGAAATATTTTTAAAACCCTGCTGTTAATAAGACATAACACATTCACAAGCAGATGCAATGCAATAAATAAATAAATATGGCTATCAGCCTTCCCCATCCCCCTTGCATCTAAACGGTCATGTCCTGCATCTATAAAAAATCCCCAAACCTAAAAGTAGATTCACAGATATCTATTTCTTTCTATACAAATTCTATTCCAAGAAATGTTTTTAAAGACAGCAACACCATCTGTCTGTAAAATGGCTATTTCCATCAGACATCATTTGCTGTTTTGCTTTTGAGTTCCATTTATGCCTTTATTGATAGTAATGCTGTTCACTAAATGGATCTGAGCAGCTGGCAAACTCGTGAATTGTTGTTAATTTATGAGATATTTATGCCATACTTGTGCTCCACAGACTTGTACTGCCCTTTATTACAAATGTTAAATTTCCCCCCTTTTTTGCTAACTTTGCTGTTCTGTACAATCTTTCATCTCTTGCTTCTTTTAGTATTCATGAAGCAGCTTTGGAAAATTGAGTTATGCAAATTTATAATTTGATTCTCTTCCAAACTTGTCACAGTTCATGAGTGTTCTTCACAGAGGATGGGAGGGAGTTCCACAATAGAAATTGCTATTTAAGATGTTGGTTTATATATGTTATTAGTTTATAATAATAATATATAAGAAAGAAAGCTTGAAAGCCAGCATTATTTGGCTCAGATCAGAAATACATAGCTTATTGAACAGAGGTATGCATGATACTTGCTAGTGCACTCCATCTTTATACTTACCCCTTCCTTCCTCCTTTTTTGGTGAGCTGTGATTGAAGTCTTCCTCGGTTAATTAACCATAGTTTCCTGTGAAGTTTGAATCAGGAAACTGTGGTTATCAGCAGGGGCAGACATCTTTCACAATATGGCGCCCTGTGTGAGGCTAAAATTTGGAACCCCCAAATGGATCTTCTCAATTATGAATCTTCTTAATTTTGTTTCCCTTCAACTCGGCACCCTGTGAAGGGGAACCAGCCACACCACCCAAAATCTGGTGATGTTACCAGTACTGGAACAAGCCAGAATATTACTGAAGCCAATTTCAAATCATGTAAGAGCCAAGGCTTATTCTCATCACCATAGTTCTCCAGTTCAGATGTTCTTAGAACTATGGTTAATCAACCCAGGAAGTCTTCAAAAAGAGCACAATGAGAAGGTGGGGAAAGGTAGCATGAGGCTGGGGCATGCGAGTGAAAGACTGCCCCACTACTCTTTTTTTTTAAGGTTTCTCTTAAACCTACAGTCTGGCACTCCTGTTGCCATGATGAGATGCGATGTTGTGTTTTCTTCAGTATTGTCCATCCTTCATGCTGTCTTGCTTCCGCTGAAATTGCAATACATGCCAGATATAAGGTTGCCCTGTTTGAAGGAAACTTGTAATAGATCTGTTCAAAATTGGGCTAACTGTTGTGATTAAGTATGGTGCCCATAGCTGCAAAATACTGAATTAAAAAAGTTAAAGTTAACCTCAAACTGTTGCAATTCTCACAGTTTTATTATTCTGTTAAATCTGTTTGTGGTCTCTCTCTCCCCCTCCCCCATCCTCTGTTTGTGCAATGATTCACTGCTTTGAGATTTCAAATTATGCCCACAGCATTATTCAAGGGGAGAGATGCAGGAATACCTATAAATGGTTGTTTATTCAATTGTGTCCAGAAAGAGGAAGGAGGCCTATTATATTGCTCCCTGGATAGTTCCCCTGGGGAAAGATTTTTGAAAGAGAGTCTTGAGACAGGTTTGTTTGTTTTTAACAGTGAGGCGAAAAACTGTTTCTTATTGCTTGACTAGGATAAATATATTGCATAAAAGGTTTTTATGTTTGCTTTAGGTTCCCAACAGATCACAGTGCCCTGGAGACCACCTATGTTAAAATGTATCTTTCAGCTTGACTATGTCTGAATTTTTGTGATGACCAATGCTTTTTAGCAAATGAATTTGACTGACACAAGGCATGTGGATATCTTGGCTTATTAAGATAATGAACATCTAGCTGTGGACACCATTAAGGGACCCCTGACCATTTGGTCCAGTCGTGACCGACTCTGGGGTTGCAGCGCTCATCTCGCTTTATTGGCCAAGGGAGCCAGCGTACAGCTTCCGGGTCATGTGGCCAGCATGACTAAGTCGCTTCTGGCGAACCAGAGCAGCACACCGAAATGCCGTTTACCTTCCCACCGGAGTGGTACCTATTTATCTACTTGCACTTTTGACGTGCTTTCGAACTGCTAGGTTGGCAGGCGCAAGGACCGAACAACAGGAGCTCACCCCGTCATGGGGATTCGAACCGCCAACCTTCTGATTGGCAAGTCCTAGGCTCTGTGGTTTAACCCACAGCGCCACCCGTGTCCCACGTTGACACCATTACCTTCATGCAATATAATGTTTCAGAAATAACATCCATCAGTGGGGTTACTTTAAAACCATATTGTTTATTAAAAGATGGTCTGCCACACATTACTGGAAAGCCTTTGTTGTGGTGGTCTTTCTGCAAAATAAAAATAAAAATCCATGCTTAATTTATTAATTTAATATATAAATAGAAGGCATTATTAATACACTGTCAAGTGAAGATTCATATAAGTTGTCCCAAATAAGCAAAGATATGATCTACTCTGTTATTGACTAGTGTGTATAGAGATGCTGTGTTAATAAAGGAAGATATGAGTCTCACTTGGTA